AACTAAGAGTATAATTGGATTGCTTGTAACACAAAGGATAAATGCTTGAAGGGACAGATACAGATACCGCATTTTCCATGATGTGATTATTGCCCATCACATGCCTGTATCAAAACATCTCATGGACCCCATGAATATATTTACCTACTCTGTAACCACAAAAAATAAAAATTATTTTAAAAAATGTTTTAGGCTTATTCACAGTTTTTCTTAAAATATTAAATATAGTCTACCAATGCAAAAAATGAAGAAAAAGAATACATGTGGAAGATGATGTTCTAAAAACCAATTCCTTTAAAACTTTCCTTGCTTGCACTACTTTGGAAAGTTTTGATGTACCCCAGGAGTATAGTGACTACCCATAGCTTTAAGGGGATTTTTCAGATCCTCAGCTTTTTTGTTTAAGAGACAGGGTCTCACTGTCTTGCCCAGGCTGAAGTGCAGTGGCATGATCATAGCTCACTGCAGCCTTAACTTCCTGGGCTCAAATGATCCTCCTGCCTCAGCCTCCTGAGTAGTGAGGCATGCAAAACCATATCCAGCTGATTTTTTTAAAATCTTTTGTAGGGATGGGATCTTGCTATGTTGCCCAAGCTGGTTTCAAATGCCTGGCCTCAAGCAGTCCTCCCACCTTGGCCTCCCAAAGCAGTGGGATTATAGGCATCAGCCACCGTGCCTGCCCAGATTCTCAGCTTTTACAAATGTTCTAAGTATAAGCTTGTGATAGGAGTCCCCTTTGCCCTCTGGCAGCTTCTCAGCTTAAATTCCAAGGAAGAGAGCCCACTGGGATCCTTCAAGCTTTGAAAGGAATCTTCTTACCCCACTGTGAGATGTGTCAGTCTGTGTGCTACTGTCCTGGGTTTCTGGGTGAGGGACAGCCAGCTGGCTCTTCCAGTCCCGAAGCTGGCGGGAGAGAACCTCCAGAATGACAAGAGAGCTCAGCAGGTTATCTTCCAAGTCATGTCGAGACAAGGCAGTCAGATCTGGAGGCCGGCTGCAGCAGAAACAGAAGAACATGACAAAAAGAAAGGGAGGGGAAGGGATGGGAGGGGAAGGTCCAGGATAATGGAACTCACGAGGCACAAGAACATAGGGGCACTTACCCACACAGGAGCCGCTCTGTCTCAGAAGTACTGTCCTTGGTGCCAACCAGGCCTGCCTGGGATGTGTTTGTACTCTTTTCCTGTGGTGCTGAGGGAGTAAACCAAGTCCCCACCGAGCAAGTAGAGAAAGGGGTAGTGCCAATTGCAGCATCCCGAAGCATCGAGGGAATGGATAAGCTTTGGCGGAGATTTTCCAGCATGACGGAGGTATTTACACCTTTTTCCAGCCAGGCCAGTGGGGACATCCAAGACTCTGTATCAGAGCCAAGAATCCTACCATCTTCTACTGCTGGGCCTGGAGCTGCTTGGGATTCCATTTCTACTAGATTTGGTGTCAGGCATGTGGACAGAATATCTTCCACATTTGAGACAAGTGCTTGACCTTCTGATTCAAAGTCCTTAGCGTGTGTAGGAAAGCTCATTTCTCTTTCCTCCATAGCTCCATGCTCTACAATTTCCTCCTCTGGGTCCACATGATTGACAGGGAAATCTGCTGCCAAGGCAGTTGAAGGGGAAAGCCAGAGAAAAGAAGAAGGCAAGAAGGCGTTACTTTCAGAAGGTACTACTAAGTCCTCAGGCACAGCCTCAGTCCTACTGTCCCTCAGGCTTTCCTTGGAGCAATTTAGTTGTTCAGAAGAGGGATTTGGTGGAGACTCTAAGAGATGGGACGGAGATTCCTGAAAGATAAGTTTCTCAGATACAGCAGCAACAACTTCTGAAAACCTGTCTTCCATGCAGGGTGCCACCTCCTCTCTCACCAGATCTCCTGTTCTCAAAGGTTCATTTAAAGATATGCTGTTTGTCTCTGCCATGGTATCTAAATGGGCCTCAAATGTCATGTCTTGCTGCTGCCCCAGTGGAGATGGTACAAGGACGATGGTTTTAACCACATAGTTGTCCAGTGGGTCTACTGCTTCCTCAGACGTTTTAGGAGTAGAGCTAGTTTGGGGAACTGGATCTAGAGGCTGCTCATCTGATTCATGCTGACAGGCTTCCAGCCACTTTGAGGAATGACTGAAATGTTCTGAAGGGAAGTCTGTCCTCTTGGCATTTACAAAATCCACTGGAGATGAGTTGTTGCTGCCTTCCTGCCAAAGGAAACAAAAGTAGTTGTCTAAGGCGGTCAATTCGGTTCCCAACATACAATTACAAGTGCAAGATAGTGTCTAAACTCAAAAAAGAAAAGAATTCTTACTACCTCTGCTTAGGTAAGAACTTGGCTAATCTTGGTTGCTCATATAGAGACCCAATAGTAGGGAAAGAAAAGCTGCTAAGCCATTTTGGGTCCTTCCAAGTGAACCAGCCTACACTATAAACAGGCTGACAGCCGGGCGTGGTGGCTCACGCCTGTAATCCTAGCACTTTGGGAGGCC